GATAAAAAGTATGAAGCTATAGGTCCATGTAGCGTCACCTTTTCTTTGTTTGTTGACAGCAAACAAATCGTTTGTTGAGAGAAATACGAAGGGTCGAGGATGTGTAATGGGGTGCTTAAGGGTTGAATCGAGAGCAGCGGGTTACTGTGTCCTTTCCGGGGCCTGTGGCCTTTGGATTATCGCCACGGAAGCAAGGGATGCTAATGATGCTGTTGCAAAGGTGTGATGAACAAAAACTTTAGACAAACATTGTTGCGGTACACATTCGAAGGTAATGTGCACTGTAGGCAGATTTATATATACAAGTTTTAGTAGTGTTTTCAACACGTAAAATGTATTTTTTTGTATTTTAGAGGAAGGAGGTGACACCAACTAAGTTGACTTAACCCTTCACCTCTAAACCAGGTCAAACACCTCACAAATATTCGAATAAATTTGCAAAAATAATTTTTAATATGGACACAAACTGAACATTGTAACAAAGGTGTCCCACCAGGTGATATTCTACGCCCGCATTTCTATATTATGCCTCAGCGGGCGTCCGAGCCTCAACCTCGTGCCCTCACAAGACCGCTTCCTTTATTGCGAGAGGAAATTACTTCGGTCGCGTGTTATCTTTGGAATGGACACCTGTTTTTCGGGGTATTTGTGATTTTTGTAATAAACAAAGTGGACTTAGTTGTTAAAAACACAGTTGATTTGTTTTTTGTGTTTATAGTGATGCGTGAGGCCAATGTTTGAATAGGATCAAGTTCTGTTCATAACAATTGTAACAACACAACAAAGATCGTTTTCATATATACCTTAATATAATATTATTGGAGGACATATCCAGTAGTAAATGAAATTCTCAAATATCAATCTCGATTCTCGAATAGATCTTATTAAAATAACTTCTGAATAAGATGGATGGTGCACCGTTAGACTTTATCGCATATAATCAAGCACACTTTTACTTATTCAAATGCATTGCAGCACATCACTTATGAAATTTTACTGCAGTGTCGATTGCTTAACAGAAGGTAACGTCATTCGATGGCCAATAAATGTGTGGGCATCTTTTGCTTTTAGAGCCATAAGGTATGAGTGTCGCGTGTCATAAAACTGGACACACAAAGCCTATCATAATCTTTATAGATATGTATAGGTACATACAGTCCCTACAGAAATTACTCTTCGTAAAATATGACACAAAATAAATTACTACTAAATGGTTTTTTACCAGATGAGCACACTTAGTCCCTAGAGCGGATTATCCGGTGAAGATGCATTCAGTACCCAGAATACTATAACTTCAATTCAAGGATTGATTCAACGACAAATCGAGCCAGTAACTTGCCTTTGTTATATTCGAAGTTGTTAAATAGTAAGCTACCAATGTTTGTCGATCGTCCGAATCTGCATTTAACTAGGGTTTATTTTATTTTTGTATGTATTATTTTTCTTAAGATTTTTATAAGCTCTTCGTTTTTACTCTTCTTTCCTTGACACTTAGGTCTTACACCTTCTTAATTAGCACTGCAAGTGCTCTTTTGTGCGCAATAATTAACAAAAGGAAAATTCATTGAAATAAGTCTTGTGCATTAAAACGTCAACTCACTTCACTGATGAAACGTCAAGGTCCAACGGTTAACTTTACTGGATTATTTCCCTTGACCTCCTCATAGTCTACACTAACTTCGTTGAATAAAAAAATATCTTCTTTACCAATAATTTTTCAATATTATTTAAAAATAAAGTAAACTAAACGTCTCATCTTCTATCCAACGTAAGAATAACAACAAGTTTTATTATAGATAACTGCGATTGGTATATCTTTCTGATTGAAATATGCGGATGATACAGCTTCATCATCATCATAAGGATGTCTTATCGAAAATAACTAATCGAATTTTTAGTTCACCGGCTTCGAAATATTCACCAGATTAGTAAGATTATTATGGACATACTCATTACCCAAAGTATTCTCATTTGCCACAAATTCCAAAGCACCAAAGGAGGTCAATTTGACCGCATACATTCCGTCACTACCATCCATCACAGGGCTGTCTTTAAAACAATAACCGTCTATATTAATTCCAGTATAATAATAACCTATTACTGCTCATAACTTCATATCAGCTAGTGTTGTGCTTGGTACTAGTTTATGTCTCATCTTCATATCTGTTGAGTCGTTACAGTATCTGTATTTATTATTTTTGTAATTTAAAAACTACACTCATGGACGTATTTAGAAGAACGTTAAAAAAGATTAAGAAGATATGATCACAATGTTCATTAGAACCACAACTTCTAATTTGAAAAAGGAATTACTTCAATCAAGTCTCTTTTGATTTCGATTCTGATATAGGTATGTGGCCAGTGGTTCATGTGAACGTTGTTATCATAATTCAAACTTCTTTTAGCGTTTCTCTAAATATGTCCATGAGTAATTTAAAAATGTGGATGTTCTTAATTTGGGCTTATCTAATTTGAATTAGATAAATATATACCGATTTGGAGAATACTCCTTTGAGTTGGGACAGGAAGATATAAACGACAAACACTGTATTTAAAATTTATGATTCCAAGGTTGAATAGACGATACTACTCTAATATAAAATAGATAACTGTGGTATATTCGAGGTATATGGATGTAATTACTGGTAAAAACGAGTTTATGTAATATTTTTTGATCTTTTCAATATGAGTGTGATTTGGGAAGTATTGAAAAGGGTTAGGGAAGAAAGAAATCTTTTGAATACAATAGAGAACAGAAGGAGGAAAATGTTTGAACATTGTAATGACGAATTTTTGAGAATGACAATTGAGGGGAAGATAGAAAGGAAAAGAAAGAGAAGAAGACCAAGAATGGCGTATACTGAACAAATGAAATAGGTCAAAAAGCTGGCTATGAACCATGAGGAGTGGAGGATGCTATACCGACAAGAGCCTGGCTCTAAAACAGGATGATGATGATGTGATTTCGGCAAGGAGAGCACTGAGTGGACACTTATTTAATCCGTAGTGAGGCTTACCATTGCAGTTGTCTTTTTATATAATAGGTTAGTTAATTTGTGCGCTAAGGTTACTTTTATAATTGTATTTGTGAGGATCTGTAATTGGCTTGCAGTAAGACTAGCATGACAGGGCGCGACTTGCACTACAGCGATATAAAGAGCGAGATACTGCTATTCTTGCATAGCAATCTCGCTCCAGTTGCAGTCTGTTGTGCTAACCCTGCAGTACCTATATTATTTAGGATTAAACTGTAAGTCTTCCTGTTAGATAAATGAGTACAATACCCAGTCTCGTTCAGGTTATTTGTCTGGTGGTATTTTTAATACATGATAGGCAGATGACTCCACTCCACCTAATGTTAAATGGAAAGTGGAACCAAACGTGAAGGAACCTAATATAGTGTAGATACAATTACTGCCCTAGCCGCCTCCAACCTGCATACCTAACAAGATGCTTCTTCACGCGTCGTTTGAAGCACCCCATAGGTATGCTGATGTCGCCGGCTTCTAGTAAAGTAGATCAAGCTAGTATTAAATACCGCGAATATAAGCACTTAGCTTCCCTACACTGATCGTCAACAGTTACTTAGTTTTGCCCTTGGGCAGTTGTCCGACTAATGACGCGGCAAGATTAATGATTTTACTAATTACACAGCGACAATGTATCTTTAACTGCTTTTTGTTGCTTATTAAAACACCGCCGTGTGATGTATATGATGTCGTAAATAGTTGGTAGTTGTAGAGTGGCGAATAACAAGTGTTTTGCCAAATAGCCTTAGGTATTGAGTAATTATTCATTATTATATTAACTTGTCACGCGTTCTAGGGACACTCCGTGTCACCAACGATTTAGATTTTTTTTAAATTAAAAAATATATTAAATTTTAAATTAATAAAATGATGGATGAAACACAGTTGCGCGTTAGAGACACCGTGTGGCACTAGAACGCTACAGTACCAAATTCATTAAGGACTGTCTAACAATGTTAGGTGTGAAATTTAACAGGCAAACGATGTTTTCATCCATAAAGATTAAAATTTTTTACGTGTACAGTGGTTATGTAAAACAAAATTTGGACCTGTTTATAAACTAGTACTTACAGTGTAAAGCTAGTACCGGCGAACAGAAAGAAAACTTTAGTAACATGGGTTATGGGAACAAATGTCTCAACATAGGCATGGATACACGTTAGTCATAAACAATAACCAATTGTTAGTAAAATTTTCTTTTGAAATTTTGAATGTCAAATCCACATTTTAACCATAATATTCAAATGTGGTAAAAGTAATTAAACATATTTTAAAATAAGACAAATAAACAATGTCAAACGTGAATTCATGTTAAAATTAGTACCTACGAGATAACAAGCCAAAGTACAATTTGAAGCAACTAAATTTATAGCAAATTTAAACATAAAATTTAATAGAAAGGAATAAAATGAAGCACTGCAATGAAAAGCGAATAAAAACTTTTACCACTTTTGAAAACTCTTATTACACTTCAACCCGGTTAGCATGATTACATAGAAAAGACGTTGGGACCAGAGGACACAGACATTGCCTTTCGAATTATTCACGTCAAATCTCTTACAATTATGAAAAACCTGATTGTAACACAGAAGTAATACAAAGTTTGTCCAAATTCAACCAAAAGGGCATATGATAATGGCTTAACGTAGACAGAGGCCTTGAAACGGTGAATACGTGAAGTTCAAGGGGACCTAAATAAGAAGATCAAGGGATCTAAAATTGAAGATTAAGGCAATTTAAATAATTTTTGAGAACCAGATACTGCGAGTGCCACAAATTGTTGAATAGCTCAACCACAACAACTAGAAAAAGGACGAGTGGCGCTTTACATTTTAAGGTTATGAAATATGTGGGAAGAAATACTCTTCTATAAATATGATCCAATATGGTGTTTGGATCTTAGAGATCTAGCAACTAGGATCTTTTCCATAAAATCATGCTTTTTTTTGAAACGAGTAATGAAGGACTCACCTTCTCTCCTCATGCCCATTTTGAGACATTTCCGCAGTCTGCAGTATTGACACTGGTTCCTATGATGCTGGTCAATGGGGCAGTTGCGGTTACCTCGGCAGGAGTACGTCAGGTTTCTGCGCACTGATCGTTTGAAGAAGGATTTGCAACCTGGTGGAGAGATTTTAACATTGTATTTTTCTTTTATTACAATTTTATTTCTATTTTTTATTATAAAACATGTTTCAAAGAGAAATATAGGTACATAGACACAGGGAAAAAATAAGTTACAGCCGCACATGACTGGGAGAGTTGGCGTACTCAGGGGAGGTTCATGTATAGCAGTGGACGTGTAAATGCTGATTTTGCAAATTATTCCAATTTTATAACGTCCCTACTACAATTTAGTTGTATTAAACAACTACAGTGGCAAATAACACCCCGTGGGACAGATTTTTTGTAGGCCCATAGCCGCGTCCCTGTATATGCTATTTTTTATTGTATCACTACATATAGGTTTGCAAGAATAAACCTTACTTGTATATATAACAACAGCGATTTCTTCTTCCACGTTCCCATCGGAATTAATTTAATAAATATTTTTGATATAATTATCTTTGTTAATTACTAAGCTTTTGTTGCAAGTAATAGAATTTTTAAATCAATGAGATTTTTCACAACGAAATTTCTACATCTGATTAAAATGTCACCCGCGGACAATTAAATCAATTTTCTGTGTTAAATTACGATTATAGATTATTTTGAATCGAAAATCAATGCATACAAAATCAAATAAACTAGAAGCTAATCACGTATTTTATTTAGATTGAGATCATTCTATTGGCAGTTGTAATTACTTATTAGCTAAACTTGTTAGTAACTTTAGTTTATTAAACACGATTAACATAATCCGATTCATCAATAGCTACTCGATATCGATAATCTGACGATTCGTAGGAAAGCATCGACTCGACACGAAACTATAAAACAGTTAAACACCACCTTTACGATCTAAGCACAGTTAAGGCCACTCATGAATATATTATACGTATACATTACGGTAAGAAACAATTTGCTACCGACACATAGTTTTAGCATTGAACATATATTTGTCACGAAATCAAACATAACACGCTAAGTTATAAGGCACATAATCCTGTTGAAATTAATTTGTGAAATGCAAAACTTGTGTGGTTGATCGGTAAAAGAATGTGATTGTCACCGCAAAATAAATGGCCACGAATTTGCAGTAAACAAATTGGAAATGGTCGTAAATATCATCGGTTCTCTTCAATGTTGTTTTTTATCGGAATTTGTTACAGTTGTAGAGGTGTGTATTTGTTTAATGGGACGTGAAACTGAGTATCTTTCAATGCGTCCATCTGACTAGTTTATATGTTGGTTTTCCCCAAATTTTAACATCGATCGCTCTTGTATATATAAATGTAACTGGTCAATTTATTCCACGGTAGACCAGAGTTCGGTACACGATTATTTTTTAGTAGCAGTAGAGCTCCGTGTGAGTTACTTATTTCTGCGGCCAAGCAGTAATGTGAGCATTACTGCGTTCCGGTTTGGAAGGGTGCTGGTAAAATTACAGGGCCTTGTCAACTTATGTCTCAGGGTGACGGGCGCAATGGCAGCGCCCCTCAGATCTTTGCGATTTAAAGCTCTGAGTGACACTGCAACTGTTATGGATAGACGTGTCGCTTACCACCAGACACGAGTTGTTCGTCCCGTCACTTGGTATTATAAAAAAAAGATTATCCATATTATGTGAACTACTAAATAGTAAGTGCAAGTGCCGGGTATTATGTGGCTTACATGTTTTTGTTTTTGCACTTCAGCACTAATATAATTATGTAATTGGTTAATTCTACATTCATACACAAGTTCACACCCTTGTCCCACAGGACGGGTAGGTAGAGAAACCATGGAAGATACAAGGCATTAAAAAAAATTTGACTATTTTTTATATTTTATATTTAATATTTTATTTTATGCGAAAGATATTTGATGAAATTTTACCAACTTGTGCTGTCCTAATTTTTTTTACTTTTTTTAAACGAAATTGTCCTTACATGAAACTGAGCCGATTATTATTGCCTATGTTAAAAAATTTTGATCAATTTTATTCATCCAAAAAATTGACTATGCCCAAATTGTTTTCACAAAAAAAAACTGTCTTAGGAAACTTTAAGGTTCCTAAGACAGTTTCCCTGTATCTTCTACGGTTTCGGATTTCACCATACTGTTCCATTTAAAATAAAGCACCGTATATATGTATGTACAGGCGTGTCGCTTAATACCAGGCGCACTACTTGTTCTTCCAGTCACTAGGTATTATAATTTTTTCAGATTTCGGATTAATATTTGTGGTGACTCCTATAGTTAACCGAATTATTTCTTTTATATTATCTTGTTTAGAAAGGTCAATGATAAGAATAATCATCTTAACTCGATAATAATTATAATTAAAACAAAAAATAGTTACTAAAAATGTTATATCTATAGTATGCTTATCAGTTGACTGTTTGGTATATAGAGTAAGTTAGTTAAGAAAAAAGCTTGAAAAAAATTCATATTATTTAAAATTTATTATTGCCTATATTTAATAAAAAAATATTGACTGGCACATTACCAATTAAGAAACTGAAGTCTCAAATAAATTATATTTTTTTAATTTACTTATATTACATAAACCAGTAAAATGGTAACATTAAAAACCAAATGGTTGGTAACGTAACCGATAGGATTATCGTTTGACGACAGGGAGCTCGTTTAAAAGCATTTTTATTACGATTCAGCGAATCAGTTTTTCGACTGCGAGTTTTCATAGGTCTTAAATTAATAATTACCTATTAGAGAAGGGAAGTAATGGTAGAAAGTCTTAATAGGCAATTCTATCTATAAAAGTTGACTTTGTTACAATAGTATTTTATGCAATAGATGTATAATGAGGGTTCTTATAATTGAGTACCGTGTTTAGGCCACGAGGCTTTGTCGATTGGCGTAAGTAATAGGTACGAGATTTTAGGACCTAATTATGTAACTATTGCATACAATACTTTTTGCGCGAGTGAATAAAACAATGAAACAGAACCAATACTTAACGTATATTTTGTTAACAATTCATGACAACAAACTGAAACGAAAGCCAAAGAAACACTACAAAACAAAAAACCAAAGTGATAGAATAGAAGTGGCCAAGTACCGCTTATATTTTTAAACTTTTTTTATAAAGATTTATGGCCCGGTTGTAAGACTAAGACCAATTTAACCAATGAGGAGGTATTTGAGTGGCGTCATACTTGAAACAAAATTTTAATTCTAAAAAACACGACGTTCTTTTTTTTGAATCCATTACAGTTGTGTACAGAACCATAACGAAAATGAGGTCAGCAGTGAGTACCACAGATAATAAAATTTTGATTCGGACCTAAAAAGAGCGCTTTTGTGATATGGTTTATGAAATTATAATTGACAGATTAAAGTACAGGAGTACAAATTTTATTACAAAATATCTCACTTAACGTTACCATAGTGAGTCAACCAATATTTTTTAACGGCACTCAGCTAAGCTGTCCCTAAATTTTAAAACAAAAACATTATTTGTGTGTAATCTAAGTCAAACTCCTAAAAATTCATAATACATCTGCATAATGACAACTTTAAGGAGAGAGGTTTAAAGATTATACGAGCGTAATTAATCGAAACTTTTATGGTTAAATAGGAGAGTTATAAACATGTTATAACATAATTTACGTAATTATCAATACAAAGACCGAACACTAAGAAAAAAATTCCTTCGATCCGACCGGGTTCGAATCGATGTCGTCTGGCAAACCGTGTCAGAAGCTATGCCAACTAAGCCACGGAACGAACCAGCGGACCTCACGAATTTTTCTGTGTGCTTGTTGTCGGATCTGTGTATTTTGTTATCAACAACTTTTTAGCTATAACAAAAAAAAACAAATAATTATAACAAACTAGAGGAGCAATTTCACAAAAAAAATTGAATATAAATTCAATACTAATTTAACAATTAAACGTAATTTGTTTCATAGTACGTATTATTTTTATGACTTTTATGTGATAATAGTACTTTTGACGCATGATCTTACGTGGTTTTATTTATAAAAATAGTTATTTATAATATATTTATTATTATAAGTATACTTACGGTAGGATACGAGTTTTTAGTTGACAATAACTGAGTTACAATTCATTCCTGTAATGACCTACTAAGGAATAAAAAATGGTCTCCATTTCTACGTTGAAGGTAATGTTCAAATTGCAATCGGTAGTGCCTATCCTAGGTACTCGGTAATATACTAGCCGTTTTAGCGTATGATTTGTGATTTTATTATAGGATAGTAATTATTAAGTTATCTCATTAATAAAATATATTTATAGAAAAAATAAATATAAATTCTGTTCGATTGGACGCCAGAGACGATACTTCAAATAATATACCAAAAATAAAATACTATAAAAACTTTGGTTTTTAACGATAAAGTCATAAGAGACTTTTTTGATTCTCTAAGTGACGAAACGAACAAATCTTGGGCGTGGTGGTAAGCGATGGTTGCAGTACCACTCAGAACTTTATATCGCAAAGATCTTAGGGGCACTGCCACCGCGCCCGTCACGCTGATACATAAGTTGACAAGTCCCATGTACCTGTAATTTCACCAACACCCTTACCCTTCAAAACTGGAACGCAGTAATGCTCACATTACTGCTTGGCGGCAGAAATAAGTAAGGTGGGAGTACTTCCCTAGACGAACTCTTTCACAAGGCGGTCTACGGCTATTAAAGTTTAAAGTAAAGGTCTAGTATCTCAGTAGGACAGGTGAAAAGTTGTTTTTCATAAATAGTCAGATTTTGGTGGGATACACGAAAGCCCGATTGACGTAGCACTCCTTTCCTGTATGTCTAGCGTACCCTGGGCAACAATCGGCAAGTACTGTACGCCAATTGGCCAATCCTTTCACCACGGTGGCAAGCATTACAGTGTATGCCATAGATACGATAAGAAGTTATAATTATTGACGACATCCGTGGTCGAGTGGCTTGCACGCCAGTTTTCATGGTGTCGCAATTTCTGAGGTCCCGGGTGCGATCCACGGTCGGGTCAGTGTAGAAAACTAACTTTTCTATATTATCCC